GGGTAAATAGCAGGACATACTGGGTTTTATACCCTTGGATGGCAACTGGTCCAGGAGAAGGACAACTCAGAATTCAAAACCTGCGGAGGGTCATTTGGGGACCTTGTGGCACGTAGTGCACCAGGTCTCTGTCATCGGCCCTTCAAAAAGTGTAGATGGTCCTGCATGAAACCTTCAGCACTATAATCAAATCTCATGTGCTGTTGGGCTATCGGTTTCCTAGAAACCGATCTGCTTGACCCTCATACGTCGAATTCGAAGGGAGAGTTGAGTATATATATATATATATATATATATATATATATATATATAACCATAACGCCTTCTACTCGGTTCCCATAAAATAACTGACGTAATCGCAGTATCTCTTCTTCCTCACCTTTGACGTTGCTGCTCTAGACAACTAGCGACTTATTTCACGCATGTTATCAATTCACATGAAGTGGTGCTTTTCATATTCTTCGATCGACATAAGAAATGTCGACATTTATTGATTATTAAATTCTAATTTATTAAAATATATTGACTAAAAGAAAATAAAGAAATACTAAATTTATATTTCTGCCCTGGAGGGCGCCATGACCAAACATTATGTGTTCTGTGTTGTTGTCAACAAAGTTTGTGGAACATTGATTTACATGTAAAATTATGTAAATGCTTTGCAAATAGTTGTCAACATTTATTGTTGAGGGAGTCCTGACAAAAAACAGTCTATCTATGCTAAGCAGAAACCAAAGTATTTTAGTCCTAAAAGTCATACTACATTTCAGCAACTATATCGGATTTTATTTTTGGTCAACACTTATAGATTGTTTTCGTCTGAAATGGAAATCCAATGTAAGTGTTGCATTCTGGGTAAACTAGTAAAATGGGCGCTTTTCCACCTATGCACGTTTTAAGGCAAATAATAATAATAATAATAATAATAATAATAATAATAATTATTATTATTATTATTATTATTATTATTATTTATTTTCTTTGATTTCTGGCATTTACACATTTCTTTCCGGGTCCCGCCCATGGACCTAAGGTTAGAAATGGCATCATGACACTTTCCACTGACACACACAAAAAAAAAATTACATAGATAAAGCCCTTCGTAAAGTGTGGGCTGTACTTATCAGAACAATTTTTTGTATCTCCTTTAGGCATGGACTTCCAGGAATCCCTTCAATTAGTCTACTGCAATCTTTTCCAACCAGTCCTAGGGCTCCAACTACAACAGGGATTGTTGATGTTCCCATATGCCACATTTTCGAGATTTCTATTTCAAGGTCCTTGTACTTTGACAACTTTTTGAATATCTTCAAAGATACATTGCAGTCAGCAGGGCCTGCCATATCAATAAGGAGGCACCGTTTTTGTTTGTGGTCTTTAATAACAATATCTGGGCGGTTAGCCTTGATTGTTCTGTCAGTGTGTATTGTGTAATCCCATAGAATTGTAACAGGTCCTATCTCCGTAACCGGGTCTGGGTGGTGTTCATACCAGTTTCTTTCAGTTTCCTTCCCGTAGAAGTTGCAGATTTTATTTCATTATCTGCTATGGCCACACTGCCTGCCAGCTCTGCAGGAAGACCTAAGTAGTGGTGGATTGTTATGGCTACATTTCATGATTTGTTTTTCTAACTCCCATAACATCGCTAACGTTACATGGACAAAATTCGTCTGCGTTTGTGGACTGTACTTTTTAAGAAAATCTTGTGTATTTCTCTTTTGCTGGGATTTCCAGGGATCTTTTTCAATGTGTTGTTGTGTTCCTTTTATATCATTTCAAGCGCACCTATTATGAATATTACTATTTTGTTTTCAATTTCCACATTTTTTTTTTCTATTTCGATTTCCAGGTCTTTATACTTCGATAGTTTTTTTTTTTTTTTTTCAAATTCCTTGGTTGTTATGTTACAGTCCGCTAGGCAGGCTATATCAGTTAGTTGGCATTTTTTTTTCTTTTCGGTCTTTGAAATTATTATTATTAATATTATTATTATTATTATAATTATAATAATTATTATTATTTTAAAGCCCTAAAACACTCTTCCCATGAATAAATTTGGTTTTCAACTAATTACTAAAAATGTCCGTTTTTGAAACTATTTGTAATTTCGAATGTATCATCCTTATACTCCGTAGCTGAAATATTTATACAGATTCTAGCCGAAACCAAAATCTGAGCTCCATATAAGAAATGTAACATTGTATGTGTCGTGGGATCATCGGAATCACATTCACTTGAAATTCTTTAAGCGCAGTGAAACACTAAATGCTCATTTATACGTTCAGGAGGAGCAACGTGTCTAGAAATATTTGGCCGAAATTAGCTCTGTACTCGTCAACAGTAGAAATATCGTTCTTACGTTGCCTTACCAGGCCGAATACAACAAGAATAAACGAAGTTCAACATTTTAGAAATCCGTTGTCGTGTTCTAGCTCCACAAACCATATTCATCTGGTCATGAAATACTGATTATTACCTTCCCTTCGCTGTAAAACTCTTCTATTGAAATCCAGATTCAAGAGTTGGGAGAAAGTTTTTTCCACATTAAAAAGCTGCGGAATTTTATTCAAGATCTTTCGGCGTTATTGAATAAAGGGTCAAGAATTCATTACAAATAATAGTGAATATATAATTGAATGAAATTTAATTGTATTTTATTTTTATGGCCCAACTTCTTAGTTTTCCTATTAAAATTATGTCGGTTGGTTGAATCCTCATGCATGAAACCTTCAGATACGAAAGGCTGACTACTATTATTTAAGTCATTTTCAAATCTTCTTCTTCTTCTTCTTCTTCTTCCTTCTCCTCCTCCTCCTTCTTCTTCTTCTTCTTCCTCCTCCTTCTTCTTCTTCCCCCCTCCTTAGTCGTCTTCTTCTACCACCTCCTTCTCCTCCTTCTTCTTCTTCTTCTTCTTCTTCTTCTTCTTCCTCCTCCTCCTTATTATTGCTCTTCCTCCTCCTTCTTCTTCTTCCTCCCCTCCTCCTTAGTCGTCGTCTTCAACCTCCTCCTCCTTCTTCTTCTTCTTCTTCTTCCGCCTTCTTCTTCCTCCTCCTCATTCTTATTGTTCTTCTTCCTCCTCCTTTTTCTTCTTCTTCTCCTTCTCCTTCTTCTTCTTCTTCTTCCTCCCCCTCCTCCTTAGTCGTCGTCGTCGTCTATTTCCTCCTCCTCCTTCTTCTTCTTCTTCTTCTTCTTCTTCTTCTTCTCTGTGCCATGTCCCTTCAGTATGTTGGCGATTAGGACTCTTCACAATTTCCTGTCATTTGTAGCTCTTAATATATATTTTTTGTTTTTGTTTATCTCTTCAAATCTTTATTTCCGTATGCATTTCATCAAGCTTGACAGTTGATTTTCTGTCGCTTTTGTCGCGTAGAATGTCATGTCTATTGGTGCAGAATGGGAATTCGGCATGACAGGTTCAACTCCTGCTCGATTATGTGGCAGACTGAGATACCTTGCTTTGAATGTACAACTAATCCAAGAGAAGGAAAACGCTGAATGTCAGGCCACACTGAAGAGGGATTGGCTCTGACACATTATCTTGGATGCAGTCCAGACCAGGGTTGAAAAGAAACAAATTGCATCCCGTGAATTCTGGAAAATAACTAGCCAAATCATGAACAGAGATAAGGTGGCCGTTCTCACAATTATAAATGTCCCTGGGGTCTTAACTTACTCGACAGATAAGGCGAACCCTTTCGCCTCCATCTTTGTCTCTAACTCAACTCATGACAAAAACCATCACCTCCACAAGTTCCCTTGTCTTACTGAGCACAATCTCAGTAATATTACCATCACAGCACAAGAAGTTATCAAAGGCCTTGATCCTAAGAAACCTATTTGTCCAGATAAAATTCCAGTGGTTGTCCTTAAGAACAACAACTCGGAATTCTCCCCAATTTTTGTAAAGTTATTCAACGGTTACCTGAAGGAGAAATCCATCCCAAACTCATGGAAAGTGTCAAGCGTATGCCCGGTTTTCAAAAATGCAGGGATGCGATCTTTCCCCTCCCACTACAAGCGCATTAGTCTCCTAGTGTATCATCAGCAAACTTTTTGAGGGCATAATCAATAAGAGGGTCATCGAGCACCTAGAAAAGAACACCATCTTCAGCGACGAACAGTATGGGTTTCGGTCGGCTATCACTCACAGAATCAGTGACGCTCTTGACGACAAACAGAACTCGACGATCATAGCACTAGATATCTCAAAGGCCTTCGTCAAGGTGTGGCACAAAGGCCTACTATACAATCTCTCCAATCGCCAGAAGGGTCTTCTCGATCATAAAATCTTTCCTAGCAGGTAGGTTCCTGAAGGTAGTTATCAATAACCAGACCCCTGGAGCCCAAGAGGTAAGCGTAGGGGTCCTCCAGGGGTCACTCCTCAGAAAAACGTCATGTGATTCAGCTGAGTATCAATGGATTACTGAAAATTTAAGAAATGCTACATCTTTTATTTAAAAAAAAAAAAACTTCGTTTCATCGTTGTTCAGTTCGAATTGTGTTTCCCTTGAAATTAATTTGAAGCGACGATTACAGTCGTTTCAGAGTATACGTTTCAAACTCATTAAGAGGCAAATAAAAATAAAACTCGGGTGATATAAAGCGAGAAAAATCTCGAGAAATAATTTCTAAAAGAAAAGATTTTTGAGGTCAAAACCACTTACTTTGAAGGAATAACCTTGAAGGAATAACCTTGAAGGAATAACTTTGAAGGAATAACTTTGAAGGAATAACTTTTAAAGGATATAAAAAGGAAGAAGCAAAAGAAAAATGTTCGTTTAAAACAAAAGAGAATGGGAGGAAGGAAATGATAAAGAATTTGAAGAGCGAGGAATGTAAAGTAAGAATAAAAGAAGGACGCGTCAAAGAAAAAATAACAAAGAAAGAAAAACAGAAGGCAAAAGATCGATGGCCGATATTAAAGAAAGAAGAAATTATGTATGAAATGAATATTATATATGGCGAAATTGTTAAAAAATGGGATTAGAAACGAAAAATAATTAAATGTGTAAAAAGAAAGATAGATGAAAGAAAGAAATGAGAAGAAAAGAAAAGAAAGTGCAATGAGAGAAAGTAAGAAAGAAAAATGTTTTAATCTGAAGGAAACTGATCAAAGAAAGAAAGAAACAAAGGAAAAGAGAAAGAATGAAAGATCATGAATGAAAAAAGAATGAAATTAAGAAATTATGTAGGAAAGAAAATGGTGAATTGGTACAAAAATATACTAATTAGTAAAGAAAAAGAATTAAAATAAGTAAAAAGTAAAAAATAAATAAATAAGTGGAAAGGAAGAAAGTCAGTTCAAAGAGAGTGATTAAGGAAGAAAAATATTACAAAGTGAGTAAAAGGAATCAATCAAAGAAAGTAAAAAAAGAAAGAAAGAAAAAAGAAAGGAAAAGAGAACGAATGAAACGAAAGAATAAAAATTATGAATGAAAAATAGAATGAAAAGAAGAAATGAAAAAGAAAGAAAGACAATTCAAAGGCAAAGAGAAAGCATGAAAGAAAAGAATATAAAGGAAGGAAGAAAGAAAGAAAGAAAGGAACGAAGGATGGAAGATTGAAAAAAAACGAAAGAATGAAAAAGAAAGAAATTTAAGAAATATTAGTTGAAAGAGAGAATGTAGTAAAGAAGCATATTTCAAAGAAAGAGAAACGGAACAAGAAATAAAGAAAAATGAAAGAAAGAAAGAGATAAAAAGAAAGTAGTAGTTCAAAAAGAGAAAGTAGACAAGGAAAAAGAGGTTTCAAAGCGAATGAAATGGATCAAAAAAAGAAAGAAAGAAATAAAGAAAGAAATAAAGAAAGAAATAAAGAAAGAAAGAAAGGAAGGAAGAAAGAAAGAAAGAAAGAAAGGAAGAAAGAAAGAGAGATCAAAGAAAGAGGAAAAAGAAAGATTGCAAGAAAGAAAGAGAGAGAAGAAAAAGAAAGAAATTACGTGAGAAAAGAAGTGAAAAAATTTGTTGAAAACAGTGCGAAAAATAAAAAGCAGAGAAATTCGTTAAGAAAAACAAGAAAACAAAATAAATAAAAAAGAAACAAAACCGGAAAACCACGAAATTAGGGGCAGAAACAATGAAGAAAAAAAAATAAAAACAGACGGAGACATACATTGCAATATAAGAAAAAATAGGGAAAAAAATGGATATGCAAAGAAAAAAAAAATAAAGAAACGATGATGATGATGATGATGATGATGATGATGATGATGACGATGACAAAGACAACAACAACAAGGTATTAAAAAAGCAAAATAAAATGCAATGAAAGAAATTTTCATCAAGAAATTACAAAAATAAAAATAAGAAAAATAAATACGAATAAAGAATCCTGACATCGGACCACAAAAATGTCTGCAAATCTTCAACATCTAATCAGTTGTCGCTAATATTTGCCAAATAGCTGGAAAAAAGAAAGAAAAAAAAGGCAAAAATGAAACAGTGAAATTTTTGACTGCGAGCGTTTCTAGAACTTCTCCTTCTGTTCGTCGGATTTATTTTCTATTGGACTCCAACAATGTTGACCTCTCCGCCATATGACCCCCTCCTCCAATACACTTTAACCGGCAAGGCTGGGGTTCGTGTTGGATGACTGGTTGGTTGGCACTCACGACCCACTTTAATCATAGGAGACGAAAGGTGTACATACAGTGACAAAAATACAAATAATTGTTGGGAGTAAGATTTCTTTTTTCGAATGGCATGGGTTCATTGAGACGTCGGCTGACGATGAAGAAGAGAAAGTAAGAGAAGAGAGAGAGAGAGAGGGACAGAGAGAGAGTAACAGAGAGAAACGTCGAAGGCTGAAGGATTGTGGAGAAAAATAAATGACGGTTGAAAAAGAAGGAGAAAAAGAATGACTATTGCTTGGAAAAGAAGACAATAGAAAAAGGAATGAAACGCATCATCAGAGGCGAGTTATTTATTTAGATTTGACACAAGGCTATAATTAATAGAGCTTCTAGTAATGATAAACAATACAACATAATATTAGAGATCAAGCCTTTCCCCATGCGAGGCTTAAAGAAAGGTGTTCTGAAAATAGGCAAGTAGAAAACTAGGAAATAAAAGAAAAAAGAAGAAAAAGAAAGAAAAAGTGAAGAAAACGTAAGAAAAAGAAAATTAAAAAGTAAAAGAAGGTAGACAGAACGAATGAATGAAAGAGGAAAGAAGAAGAAAGAATGAAACGAAAAGGAAGGAAGAAAAAGGAAATAAAAAGAGAAGAGGAAAACGGATTACATAGAAAAAGTAAGGAAAAAGAAAGAAAGAAAGAAAGAAAGAATGAATGAATGAAGAGCAAAAGATATAAAATAAACAGGACAAGAAATAGAGGAAATGAATACAGAAGAAAGAGGAAAAAGAACTGAATAAAAAAGTAGAAAGAAAGAAAGACAGACAGACAGACAGAGGAAATAAAGAAAAAAACAAAGTAAAAAAGAAAGAAAAAAAAGAGAAGGAGCACACACGAATTGAAAGGAAGTAAAAAAGAAAGTTGACGAGGGAAAATGTTTGGAATGTGACGTGTAACGTGCCTTCCTCGGGCGATTCCATTCCAAACACGAAAGACAAACTGAACACGATTTCATGAATGACGAATTCGTTTATTTCAGTAGAAGAAAAAAACTAACACCGATTGATGTTGATTGCTGATTGTTCAAATGATTGGCTTTCGATCATTTTGCGGTTAAACAGCTTTGCTCCATCCTCCTCACCTGCTACAAACCTCTGTTAACACCTCTTCCATTACGATTATTTTCATTTGACAATTCATAGGTTTTATACCAGTACTGAAATCATAACAACAGTCCCAAGTCCTATTAAAGTGATATTTTTTTTCAGAAAGTGAGTCGATGCTCACAGCGCAAGCTTTTGTAGTTCTCTTTTATCTGTTATCGGACCAAAATTTTGAAATTTCACAAAGTATCGAAGAAATCTGTGTCATGTTAACACAATTAAAAACTGATGGGCCATGCTGCTTGCAGAAATTTAAAACCTTGCCACAAATGTACATTTTTAGATTAAGTTATTGTTTGAAAAAACGCCCAAAATGCATGTCAAATATTGTGTGTCTTAATCAAAATGAAAGATTGTGTGTCCTTTTTGGAAATGGTTAAGTCAGCGATGACCATTATTATTTTATTTTTGGGCAAGAAATATTTATTTTTATTTCTTCATTCTTTGCCACACACTTCTTTAGTTTTGGCCCCTGGTTAGGTGATTTTATTTACAGATATTCCAATATTTGATGTTTTAAAAAGAGTTATTACAATACACGTTTCTAAAAAAACATGCTTCCACAAAACTGAATTTTTCGTACTTAATCAGCCGCCGATTCAATTCTGATGAAAGGAGTTGCTAAACAAAGGAAGGCCAGCCACTATCCCAAGCATATGAAATAACATGCACTATTAAACATATATTAACCGAGTGTTCAGACCTTGCTCGAAAATACTATAATATAAACATGTACGAACTATTCGAAAAAACAAAAATGGATGACATAATATTGTTTCTTAAAACAGTGGGCATATACCAAAAAATATAAACAAAATAAGAATCTCAATATATTAAATTTCTCTACAAACTATATCTGAAAAGAATACATCAATGAAACCAGACTCTCTACAAACCAGTTTTGCAAAAATACGTCAATGGAACTTGATCTCCTACAAACTGGTTTCTTACAAAGAATATATATGCTATTTTTAAAAAAAAATGTCTGCATTAAATAACCCCTTGATGTTGATGTGCTGTAGAACAAAATAAACCCAAACCCAGTTGTGTTCAACACAAAAATGAACTATTTTGAAATTCGCATAGTCTCGTATATGGCTATAACGATAAAATGGTCAGCAAGGTAAATAAGTTAAGAACCTCGAAGTTTAATGAAAATACCATTTATAACCACCAAGCAGTTCTTGAATTAACAATTATTCCATTCTAAACGATGATGAGTTTGCATGAACGATAATAAAAAGGCCGAAAAAAGATCTTCACATTCCTGTAAATCAACAACTCGTAAATACAATTCCTAAAGATAATAAAAATAATAATGAAAATAATTTTTATTATTAATACTCGTTAAATGTTAGCCTGGTGGTATTTTATTATATTTAACGTAGATCAAGTGACAATAAGTTTCTTCAATACTTCAGGACATTCCTATTTATTGTAGCTCATTTTAGTTCTTTCGCTCTTGGACTTACAATTCTCATCTTTTTTTCTCAGAATTCTTTGGAACTCGTTATATTTGACAAATGAATACTCACCAATAAGATCTTGAGGCATGTCAGTCCTGAAGCTCCTCCATGCAGATGTTTTCTAGTAGTATAAATAACAATAGTGTATCCAACACCAGTTTGCTAGGCCTGTCGCGTAGCATACAGCACATGGTATCGACCAGCTGTCACCCATCTGAATACTGAGCAAGCCCAACGTTTCTTAACTAAGGTGATCGGACGAGAACAGGTATTTCAATGTGATAGGACCGTAAGCTGACATATGATTTTCTAAGCGTAGCTTAGATGTGGCACAAGACGGAAGTATGAGGAACCCAGCGAGGATTACTGACTCGTAATTGTTATATCGAGACAAGCTTGCTAACCATTACACGACCTTGCGGAGCCCAAAATGAAGGACGGGAGATATTGATAAGCTTGGATGGAAACCCAACTGATTTGGCGTCAGTCAGAGTTTCTACCTCTAATCTATCAATACTCGGTTAATATGTAATAAAAAGAGGTTTGGATGCAGCTGGGTTCCATTCCCAAATCGAACCCGTAGGCCTCGATCGTGGTGATGGAAAGCGGCCGGATGGCAATGCCATTTTCCCTTTCAAAATGGGTAAATCATTGATTTGGGATGCGCCCTGTGCGGATACATTTTCAGCCGGTAATTTGATCGGGACGCAGAGATAAAAGAAAATAGTTAAATATTCTTCTCTTGCTGATAGATTTTTTTTTTACTCCTGTCGCAGTGAAGACTTTAGGGTTTATTGGCCTTCGTTCGATGGCGTTCCTTCGGAGGATTGGCGCGATTGCGTCTCGATTAAGGGACGAGCCTCGTGAAACAGAGTGGCTCTTGCAGCGTGTTTCACTGGCAATGGTTAGACGTAATGCTTTCTCCATCATTGTGGCTAGCAGAGGATAGCAGAAAAAAATTGTTTATAGTTTCTGGAATTGTCATCAATGGTCAACTGAACTTGCTTTGTTTCAATAAATTACAATATCTTTATTAAAAAAAAAATCAATAATAATATGAAAAACTATTGCCATGTATTTTTTGTTTTGTTTTTATAAAAGTTAAAAATTGTATTTTCAATGGTGTGTCTATTAAGTGAAAGGACATTAGTCGGCATTAAACCAAAAGGAGAAGCTTTAAGAAAAATAGGTGAACAGCGAAGTTGGACCTCATAAGGAAAACTGGTCATAAAATGGCGGCATAACCGTGAACAAAGTGACTGGTCAGGGGACGCGTAAATAAAATAAGTTCTGAACTATTTCCGAAAGGATTAGGGGAAAGAAAAAGGGAGATAATCTGCAAGAGATAAAGCGTTACTGGAATCAATGGACAATGATAATCCGGACAGGATTAAGATTAGGTTGCTTTAGAGAATTTTAGCGTTTTCTTTGAAGACCGGAAGAGACAAACACTAAGTTACAGAACACACACGCATAAAAAGAGCTGACTTAAAGAGAAAGAAAAAAAAAAAAAAGATTCAGTTGTCTTCTTTTTCTCCTTTCTTTTCGGTTCTGACTCATCTATTTTCTTCTTCACTTTGTCTTTCTATCCGTTCATATATGATTATCTTTTTTCTTTTTTTTTTTTTACACTCCAATACGATTTATCTTTCATTTTCAAAATGGCCTCAGTGTAATCGGGTTTTACCTTTTACCATTTTTACCTCAACTTATCCCTTTCATCACAACCACTCCAATTCTCTTTCTTTAGATTTTCTCATATCAGAATCCAATGAACAATTTTATTTTTATACAGCGAACGCATACCCAGAAAAACTAAATGCAAATTTTAATTTACAAATAATTTCTTCTGAGAACCAATGGAAAGTTAAGCTCGTCGACTTTGGAAACCATATAAAATCTAAGAAACGTTGAAAATCTGTCGCCGATCTGACCCAGTCTGATCCCATCTTTCCTATTCTATACATATGCCATATTGTATTTCTTTTCACTTCCATGATTTTCTTTGAGGTTTCACTGCAACTTCATATAAATTTAGTTACATTATATTAAATGTTAGATATTCACCACGAGTGGATATCATATAGAATTTTTTTTTTGCTTTTCAAATTTATTCTGTCTTTTCCTAATATGATGTCTTCTGCTTTTAACCCGTGACTTTCTATGTAGAGTTGATAATTTAGGTGCAACCGGCGACAAAGGTGATTCATTATTTTTTAACACTTCACTTCAGTATTATATTTTATCGAAAGTATTTTCGTTTTTTACAGGCATTTACTCTAGATGCCATGTGTGTGGTATAATGTATATTGGAAAAGAATGGGGGAGCGGAGTTCGAATTCCAGTCGGGCGCCTTACATTCACTTACGCGCAAATACCCTTGGGAAAGATATGAATTTACTTCCTCTTCATAGTTATAGGTTAAATAGTAGGGCTTGTATCTAGGAAATGATTGTCATTCTAAAACTAATTGTTAATGCAAAACTGGACAATTATTCTTACAATCCAAACATATTTTGGGAAAAGGAAAGAAAACCAATAAATAAAATAATAATAAAGAATAAAAAATAAAAATAAATTTTCCCATGATGCAAATAAAAGAAACCTGAAAGTGTTTTTGGTTATCTCCGCAATTTTATGACAACAAATCTAGAAAGTACAGAATCATTCGCTTTCCACTTTCCAACATCATTCGCATGTGCCTTGTAGCCCGATTCATGAAATAATTTGGTTGTTCTAAATTAGCGCGAAGCTGACGAGCTCGACCATTTAAACTATTGTTACCCTTGCTTAACCTAACTTCTAAGCAAAAAAGAAAACGGACATACAGAATTTTCTTTCTTTACAGTCAGCTTAAAAGGAATAAATGGTCTTTAGTAGAAACCTATGTTTTTGCTTCGATTATCGTACCGAAAAATAAAATATAAAATATATACTAACAGGCAACTTTTTAAATTCCATAAATCTACCAAAGGTCAATAAACCGTAACAAAATCAAATCAATCAATACGCTAGATAAATATTAAGAAATTAGAAATTTTAAGCATACTTTGTTCTAACAGCTGCTGAAGATATTCGCAGAATTAAAGAGAAGCAATTTAAAGAATATCTAAGAAAGAACCAGATTACATGTTCTAAGTTTGGATTTGTTCTTTGAAATGTAGTACAGAATTGAACGACCATCGTTTGTCGATTCCCTGAAGAATTTCATAAGCTTCGAAAACATACAAGACTTCTCGTGATATTTAGCAGGAATTAAAAACAATCAAAAACATTTTTGATACAGAAGATATTAAATAATTCCATTATTTCAATTTGGAGATGGGGATATTAGTCCGAGTATAAATAAGATAATTAAAGACATCTTCTCATTGTCGTAATTCGGAAAGAAAAGAAAATCTTCATTACACAGGAAAATGGAATGAAATTAAGTAAGAGTCTCCAAATGAATTCCTTTTTTTTACTTCTAAATTCCATGATGTCCTCTCTATCTTCATTCGGATGATCTTCTTCAAAGAAATTCACATCTTTTGATTGTGTTTCGACTTTTAGCATTCCCTTTCTTTTTTCTTCCTTGATGATTGATGGTAGTTAAAAAAATAATGAAAACAAAGTAGTGTAGATCGACAGATTCATTGCCACACGTTGAGTTAAATATATTGAGAGACATAGAGACATGGCCGAGTCTCCAGCAGAATATCAATTGTAAAGTAAGTCAAGATTTCGAACTAATAAACTCATTTCGCCCGCCTAAATTCATCTCATCTTTCGAATCGATGAGGCAAACTGTGTTTATTCTCTCTCTCCCTTTGCTGCTTCTGCTGCCAGATCTTTTGGTTAACCATATCATCAATCATCTTATTTCTTACTGCCAGATTGACAGTTTGTGAAATGCGCCATCGTCCCTCTATACACGGACCATTCACCAGATTTCTTCAAATGTTTATCAACATATTCAGTTTTTTGTCTTTGCAATGGCGTTAGGCCTGAAGCATTGTGTCGGTGAAATTTGGTCATTAGCAAAGTTTCTTCCTATATCGTTCTATTTCTTTCTACACACACACACGCGCACACACACACACACACACACACACACACACACACACACATATATATATATATATATATATATATATGCATATATGTATGTGTTTGTGTCTGTGGAGGTAGGTAAATAATGGAGAAAGTAAATAATGTAAATTGTTTTTAGATAAAGTGTATATGTAAAGGAATAAAATCAATAAAAAAAATAAGATAGCTAAGAATATATTTTTTTTTTCTATTTTATTCATATATATATATATATATATATATATATATATATATATATATATATATATCAGTAGACATTAAAGTCAACACCCAGAAGTGATAGTCTGTTTCATGCTAAACGCAATCGTCAGCCCATGTTCACTTTTATATTTACATTAGCTCTATCTCTGATATTGGACAATTTTAACCCATAAATATAGCATACCTTAAAACTATATTTTATACACACACACAGATATATATATATATATATATATATATATATATATATATATATATATATATATATATGCATATATGGCTCGTGTTGGTCGATAGTAGGTGGTAGCCTTACAAACAGAACGCCTGACATCGCTAGTCGCTTCCTCAAGGCTAGAGAAATAAATCGGCTACTGTTAGACTGATGAACTTTGTTGATCGAATGGACACCTGTCAGTATCATCTGAAATTAAGATACTCATGAATTAAATAGAGATTAGAGAGACTAAAACTCAGAGGGGAAAAAAAGGAAAAGCTGAGCTAATCACGATTGCTTTTTACTGAAATAACCGTAATGAGAACTAAACAAGAATTTATTCATCAGAAGTAAATAATCTCGAATAAGTGTCTCTGAAATAGATAAGCTTTGCCTATGTGAAGGATTGTCCGTCCGAGTGTTTTGGGAGAATTACTTTCTGATACTGACTACTGTTAAATTTTGCGAGGTCTATCTTCCATGGTGTCCGAGTGTTGAACTTTTGCCTGATCAGACCTCGTTGATAGAACAGCACCACATGAGTGTCCAATACAAACCGCGCATTGCCTACAGAAACGTCACCTGGTTCAGAGTCACCCATGGTGAAATTGTTCTTCCGACGCAACTATATATATATATATATATATATATATATATATATATATATATATCAAGTATGGTGCCGTTCAATTTACATTACATGAATCATTCATACAAAAAACAGATATAGAAGTTAATGATATAAATGGCGAGAATACATCTTCGCAAACAAATTTAATAAAGTAAATTAACTCCGAACGTGTAGATGAATTTTATGACCCCTGTTTATAAATTCCAGTTGCATAAGGTCTTTTTTTTATTTTTTTACAGGCTTTCATTTGTGCATACAGACATCGCCAGGTAGGGAAATAGATTTGTTTTTGACATCTCGGTAATAACAGGACAACGAAAGAATAGATGTAATCCGAAATATGTTTTTTAGAAATGTGTTATTGTTAATTGTAAGAATTTTTTTGGAGCGTGCGGTCGCAACGCTGAAGTTCAATTTTTAAATTTTAAGATTGTGCGTTTTTGTACTAATATGGTAATAGGAGAATTCTTTTGTTCTGGTAGGTTTTTCAGTCAATGTGGCATGAACTAAATTGTTCAATAAATAGAGGAATGTCACAGTTATTATCCGAAAGTTGCACGTCGGATCAGTTATTTTAATATCAAGTAAATCTTCGCAAACAAATTTAATAAAGTACATTAACCCCGAACCTGTATATATATATATATATATATATATATATATATATATATGAATTGGGATCAAATATCGATTGGTATTCGACAGAATAATACGATAAGGAACAAATATGAAATGATTATAAATCTAACATATTTCTCTTTTATTAAAGCTTCATCAGAGAATAAAATATGTTAATTTTCTAGACGTTACTTATATGTATCACACGGCGGAAAATATTGGGCACCCAGTGAGGAACGTCATCTAGCGAGACAAATCAGATATTGAAATATGGCGTCGAAAAAGAAAATTCTGGTATTTTCAATTTTTGTATCGTTCATTTTCCTTTGATTAGGCAAACCTCAGATGCATATGTCTTGTCATGCAGCAGTCGTGCGCATAATTCACAGCATATTCGTTTGTTTATGTGTTTGGGTGTGCACGTCTGTTATATATTTTCTTCATATTTTATTCTCTGATTACGTTTTAATTAAGCGAAACATGTTAGACGTATAAACATTTCCTATTTGTTCCTCATTCTATCACACACACATGTTGAAAAAGATCAAAAGACATGCGTTGAACGGATGTTATCATTCGT